CCAGCAAGGGAACAGTTAGGGGCAATCAGGCCGGTAGGGGAGTAATTAGGGGTGATCAGGCAGGCAGGTGAGCAGTTTGGAGCCAGCAGTCCTGGATTGCAAGAGGCAGTTGGACATCCCTCAAGGGGTCCTGAATTAGAGAAGGTGCAGGCCGGGTTGAGGGACCTCCTCCTCCATGCACAAATTTCATGCACTGGGCCTCTAGTTAATAAATAATCCCATATAATAAAAACCTAATATGCTAAGGGTCTGAACATTTGACCAGTCACTATGACATATACTGACCACCAGGGGGGCAGATGCTCCAACTGGTAGGTTAGCTTGCTGCTGGGGTCCTGCTTATCAGGACTGGGCAGGATGAGTCATACACATGCTAGAACCCTCCCATGGTCTCTTCCGGGCCTCAACTGTGCATTGGTGGGGTCCCTCAGCCTGGCCTGTGCCCTCTCGCAATCCAAGACCCCTCGCAGGATGTCAGCCGGTTTCAGCTGATCCCCAAGCCAGGCCAAGGGACCCACCAGTGCAAGAATTTGTGCACTAGGCCTCTAGTGCAAGAATAAACTGTTTCACATATAACTAAAAACCTACTTTTGCCCCACACTATATAATTCTAATTCAAGCCATTGCTAAGATGTCACCATAGGAGCCAACCTTCCCTAGACAATGGTGTTTAGTCATTCTTTTCAAAACCAGTGTGACAAAAGAGTTCCACTAAAATTCCACCTTCTGGATAATTCTGTGTAAACCAGCAAAGTCGCAGCATCATGGCAGACATCATTTGCATTGTCATTTTTTTGGTATGGTTTCCATACATTTTTTTCCCAATCAGACAAGAAAAAACTGGCTACTCAGGCTCCTGACATGGAGATTGTCACCTGCTGCCAGCTGAGGTTTCATAGTGTTCTTTGACGTCAGTATCACATGGAACAAGTGAGGCATCTCTGGTGCCTGCCACTGGTACGGGCTTTCTTGGGGGCAGATTTTTGAAAGAGCTGACAGTCCTTCTACAGTTGAATTTGGAGCAACATTTTCAAACAAATCTCAGCAGACAAAGCTGAGGGATTAATCTGCATTTGGTTTGTTAGAAACCCATCTTCAAGTCTGTGAGTACAAGGTAGAGGCTAGGGAATGAAGGCGAGTGATCATGGCATGATACCACCTTTGTTTCTCATTAGGTAATGGCTATAGAATGGAGTGAAGTGAGAAAGGAATTGAAATTCTTAACTAGGAAGACCACAAAGATCTTACCTGTTTTTTGTTTATAAACCTTCATAGCTCAATGTCCTTCATAGTCCTAGACATGGACGCTGTGTAGTTTTTAGATCTTTTGCCTTGACTTCACACTTTTCCCCAAATGCTATTCTTTAACCTTTTAAGAACTTCACAAAATAGAAATGGCACATAAATGCTTCACAAATTCACTTAAAATGGAATGCAAGGATTTAAAAAAAAAAACTTTCAGATAGCTATTTAGTGCTACTTTCTACATACAAGTAGATACATATATGAACACCAGTAAATTAAGGGAAAAATAACTAAGCACTTTGGGGTCCTACTCATAATGGGTACTTACATACTCTACCGGAGAGACCTAATGTCTTACTACCTGTGAGGTTTGCCTAGCCGTGTCCACCATGGGATAATGTGGACAGTATCTCTGTGTCAACACAATAGGTAGCTTTGGAGAGAGGCAATCAATGATTTGTTTATATATTTTAACATTTTTATTGTTAAAATGTCAGCATGTGCATCACTTTGGATATACTACTACTAGAGGTCTGGTGCATGAGTTTCATGCACTGAGGGGCAGGGGGCTCTCAGCCAGGCCTGCACCTTCTCACAGTCCGGGAGCCCTCGGGGGATGACTGCTGCAGCTGCACTTGCCACCCATGAGCCCAGCTTCTGACCAAGCAGCACTCTTCCTGTGGGAGCACACTGACCACCAGGGGCCAGCTCCTGCATTGAGCAGGATCGGTCCAAAACTGGCTCTCTGACATTCCCTGAAGGGGTCCCGGATTGCAAGAGGAGGCAGGCCAGGCCAAGGGCCCCCACCAGTGCAAGTTGGGGCCAGGGAGGGACGCAGGAGGTTGGCAAGCTGGCGAGTGACCTCAGGCTGCTCCAGGAGGTGTCCAACTCATTTCACTCAGTCCTGATTGACTGGACCCCAGCAGCAAGCTAACCTACCAGTCAGAGCATCTAACCCTTAATGGTCAGTGCACATCATAGCAACTGGTCAATCAGTTAACTGTCTGCTTCCTGGTGGTCAGTGCACCTCATAACGAGCAGTTGAGCAGCCTTAGCATATCATTAGCATATTACACTTCGATTGGTTGAACGGACAACAAGACACTTAGCATATTGCTTTTATTATATAGGGTTTCGCTGAGCTGGGCCTTGATCTAGTGTCCCTTTTGTAAGTGGTCAGTGTAACACTGTCTTTCTGAACCCTGCTGACTTACTGGGACTTGACTAGGAGCTCTTTTCTGTTTATCATACATTTTTGCAGTATGGACCATACATTTTTCCCTTCTTCCAACATTACCACTTACGCATGTACACCTGGAGCAGTTTGTTGTGTTGTTATTTGGGGGAGGAGGACAGTTATTTCATTTTTTCCTGTTCACAAAAAGATGTTGAGGAAATTCTTTTTTTTTTTTTTTTACTTTGCCAAGGTTAAGGTTCCGTGCTCCTTCCAATACATTATCTTCATGAAGCATGTGGTCAGCATAAAACAAGAAGCCTGGTTGTTATTGTTTTTTTGTGGGTTTTTTTTTTCCAGATTTCCTATCAACAGAAATATGATTCTACTGGTTGAAAGTATCCTCCTGTCCTTTTTTTCTACTATTCACAATATTGAGTAATTTAGATTTATGTCTTTTACAGGGTGTTTTATTAGTAATGCTTAGTCTGATGGGTTCTTGCCAGGAAATGTTTTTCCTATCAGAATCAGAGTAGGAGTTTAGTTTATAGCATGCTGAATATGTGACATTGTCTTGCTTCATTTTAAGTTAAATTTTTGCTTTTTAGTCAGCACTCTGGCCCCACTCTTCTGTTTTGCGCGCACACACACACACACACACACACATAAATTGAGAACTTAAAAACTGTCCTCCTATTTTAGTCATCATTGTTAAAATATTGCTAGAATCCAGACTCCTGACATTTTTTCATATAGTAGCATTGACAGGACCCTAGTTTTCATGAGGGCAAAACTGTTGAATCCCTTGCTCTTAAGTTGCTTAAATCATCACTGGTCTAATATTTCACTTATATTTTTAATCACTATGTACATTTATATGTGTATGTATTTATGAGCTAGACTTCCACAGGTTTGCAATGTAAGATTCTAGACTTGATCTGAAGTGCCCTTCCCTGCCTCCCTCCATCACATTGGGAGAACTGCCCAAGAGCAGGAAACAAGATGAGGCTTATTGACCTGGTAAGATGTCACAGCCAGGTCAAAACTCGTGCCCTGACTCTACCAGTGAACTGTCCAAGGAATGTCTCTGTGGTGTGGCTTTCCTTTTACAGGAAGAAAGCTTTTCTGGTCTTGAGTACAGTTAGTTTATTTCACTTTCACTTATAATAGATCCTGATACGACTTGTTATTTCCCAGATAAGACTTGTTACCTTGCAGTTATCTTCTTTCTCCCCCCCTCCCCAGAATAATCAACTGATTTCTGGATTATATTTAATTACTTTCAATTAGCTATATGTTTTTTATCAGAAAAATATAATTATTAACACCTGAATTGTCATATCCTAAAGAAATATATATGAAATTGGCTCCACCAAATAAATTTTGTATACCTATTTAAACACCATCATATATGACAGAAATAAAAATAAAAAACTAGTTATTTATTTAGAACCAGCAAACATCAATTTAAAAAGTTGATTATAGTTCTTAGCCTTTGTCTCAACTTTTCTAAATAAGCAGTAGTTTGAATGACATTTGGGAAAAGATTCTTCTTAACACTTATGGTTAGCACATAGTAAGGTTTTCCCTGTTCTGCAGAGAAGGAATTCTCAGGACTTGCAATTAATTTAGAAGGCATTCTGAAATATTCCACTCCAGTGAAAGTTACTGTTTTGGAATTACAATAAAGCAGAATTTTGTTTTTTTGTTTTTTTTGTTTTTGTTTTTTTCTTGCAAATTTAACTTCTTTCATTATAAAGAAAGCTGTGTTTGAACCCTGTGACTACCAGGATCCATCACATGCATTATTATCTTCTTTAATCCTCACTATAAACCTATGAGATTGGCACTGTTTTTATACTCATTATAGAAGAGAAAACTGGGCTCATAGTCTTCTTGCAGAAATTATAGCATGTAGCTTATAAAATGGGGGTTTGATCCAAGATCATCTGACTTTAGATTCTTACATGGTTGTCTTGTGTGTACCTGCTTTGGAGTGAAGTGCGTTCACTAATGCTGTGTCATCTGAAATCTTGTATTTTGTCTAGTTTTTAACTTGCCTTATAGGATCAGATTGAGTGTGGTTTTATCAGAAGTTTCTCCCAGAAGTAATTTTTTAAAGATCAAAATAGTTATTCTGCATAATAATTTTACTTTTATCTTTGGAAGTATGATGTTATAAAAGACATTCAGCAGATATAAGTTTTGGTAAATATACTACTATTGACCATGTCTGTTAACTTGAGTGTGTATATGCATATATGTGAAGAATATGTATATGAAGAAACGAAAGGACATTTTAAAGTTTCAATTTTGAAGGAGACTGACCAATATTTGTAGAGAACATAAACAATGACAGAATGGAAAAATAATGAAAGAAAACTCTTAAGTAATTTAAACTTTTTTTAAGCTTGTACAAAAATAGACCTTTCACCATTTGGTTCTCAAAAGGAAATAGACAAAGGTGGTGTTACTTTCTGTTTCTCCTTAGGAAACTATACTGTGCACAGCAATGCCAGCAGGGGGACAGGCAGCTTGTGTTTCTATTAAATGCCTTTTCCCTCCCCCATCTTGATTTCAGGTGTCAGAAACTATTTAAAAGAAGCATTGGTGAATATAATTGCAGTGCATGCAGAGGTAAGCTATTATTAGCTGTTCCTAAGAGGTACGGGTAACTGGGGGAAAAAATGAAAAAGAGGCTAATTTTATGACTTTTATGGTGGTTTTTCCCAAAAATTTTTTGTGTATTCCTTTGTTTTTAGCAAATTCAAGTCAGGATAAGTCACCATAATGCACTATTTCTCCTTACTTTAAACCTTCCTTCAGGTGTTCACTATTTCCAAAGAATTGGTGCCTCGGGTCCTGTCCAGGGTAGTGGAAGCGGTATCTGAAGAGCTCAGTAGACTCATGCAGTGTGTGTCATCCTTCAGCAAAAATGGAGCATTGCAGGTACCAATTCCAGTCCATGAATGACTGTATTCAATTTAAATATGTACATGTGTTTTTAGTCATCAGTCTTATGATAGAGGTTTTTTGGTTGGTGTGTGTGTGTGTGTGTGTGTTTGTGTGTGTGTGTGTGTTTTGCTGGATCTGCTGATTTGAAGTGCAATACATCTCTCTTGCATAAGCCCTACACATCCTGCCTTGTCTACAAGTTCCAGAGTTCCTGTGTCCTCAGAGCAGGGCAAGACCTTACTGACCTTATAAAATTATCTGAATGCAGATTCCCTCTAAAGTTCTGTGATATTTTTCTTTTTATTTTATAATTATTTCACTACATTTAATTTCAAAACAAATTTTAACAACTTTTAATAAGTCTTTCTAAACTATTAAATGTAATTTGCATAGAAATGACAAATAACTGTCTCTTTGCACTAATATTTCATTGGTTTATGTTGTAATTATTTAAGTTACACAATTACAATAACAAATATAACTTACATAAACCAGATGATTCTTGGGATGCATATAACCAAATTAGTAGGAGCCAAGGTGTGAAAGCTTATGGGAGAGTGATGTCCTACATGGGAGCTTTGATTGACCTGGAACATTGTGTGTTTTTAGTAAGTCTTAGCAATTTTCTTCCAGTAATAGCTAAAGAAGCTCTTACCAGGCCAACCCCCTACAGATAACAACTGTAATCTTCAGTAATATATAAAAAGTTTTAAATTTCAAAAGAAAAACAAAAATATGAAGACAGTGAAGAAATGACCATTAGTGAGTGTGTCTAGGAGAAATGACACTTGGGTGTCATTTAGGCTTAAAGAATAGGGAAACCATAATTACAGGCAAGCAAGGAATGTAACCCAGAAAGCAAAAAGCAAGAGCTACAAATTGTGTTTACATTGCTTAAGTCTCTAGTTGACCCCTAAACTATCATATGTATGCATGACTGGACTCCACTGCTGCCAGCCCAATTAAGGCCAAAAGGACTAACGTAAGAGTTAAAATGCTGCCCAAGAGCCAAGAGTTTTCAGTTTTCCTCCAAATAAGTAAATTGCTTACTAAAACAAGCAAAACAGATCAATACTCTTCAGAGGCATATTGCAGAATTCCAAGTCTCTACAACAACATGCACAATTTCTAAGATACAATCCAAATTTCATTGAAACATACAGATAGAACAAAATAGTAAAGCATGACCCATTTTCAATAGAAAAGATAATAAACTAACAGATGATCCAGTTGTTGGAATTCAAAGACAAAGATTTTAAAGCAGTTATGTTCAGTGATATAAAGGAGACAGTGCTCAAATGAATGAAAAGATAGGAAAGCTTAGCAAAAAAGAGAAATCTTAAAAAAGAAACTAAATGGAAATTCTAAAATGAAATACATAAATGTGATTTTTTTAAATTAATTAATTTATTAATTTATTAATTTATTTATTTATTTATTTATTGCAATCTACTAGTTTAGAGTAACTGCAAAATAGAAAGGACAAAAAAGTGAATTTGTAGATTAACAGAAATTATCCATATGAAAAAACAGAAAAGAGCCGAAACCAGTTTGGCTCAATGGATAGAGCGTCAGCCTGTGGACTGAAGGGTCCCGGGTTCAGTTCTGGTCAAGGGCATGTACGTTGGTTGTGGGCACATCCCCAGTAAGGGGTGTGCAAGAGGCAGCTATCGATGACTCTCTCTCATCGATGTTTCTAATTCTCTATCCCTCTCTCTTCCTCTCTGTAAAAAATCAATAAAATATATTTTTTAAAAAGAAAGAAAAATACTTAGGAGAAATTTAACAGAGCTCTAGGAACCCCTTCGGCAATGTCCAAAGTTCGAGCATACACATAATTCAATTTCCAAAGGAGTCAGAATGGCCAATGAGCACATGAAAGGGTGATCAGCATATCAATTGGAGCTCTCACACATTGATGGGAGTGTAAATCTTACAACTATAATACTTTGAGAAAAAATCTTGCATTTTCTTTTTCTTTTTCTTTTTTTTTATTGATTTTTGTACAGAGTGGAAGGGAGAGAGATAGAGAGTTCGAAACATCAATGAGAGAGAGTCACTGATCAGCTGCCTCCTGCACACCCCCCACTGGGATATGCCCGCAACCAAGGTACATGCCCCCAACCGGAATCGAACCCGGGCCCTTCAATCCCCAAGCCGACGCTCTATCCATTGAGCCAAACCGGTCCCAGCAAATCTTGCATTTTCTTTGAAAACTAAAGGCACATTCTCTATGACCCAGTTATTCTAATCTTAGATATTTAACCAAGAGAACTAAAAACATACCTTCATAAAAAAAAAAGCATATAAGAATATACCTTCATAATAGTCAAAAGCTGGAAACAGCCCAGCTGTCCATCAACAGAATAAACAACAACAACAAAAAAACATTATGGTATGTTTATATAACCAAACTATTATTCAGCATTAAGAAGATAAACTACTGGTACCACCTGTATGAATCCCAGGAGCATTCAGCTGAGTGAAGGAAGCCTTACACCAAATCACACATTTGATTATATGGGTTTCTCATGTGTGGTAGAAAAAAATCTTAGGAAAATCTTTTCCTCTGGGTAGTTGAGATTAAGTGGGAAGGGGCCTAAAGGAGCTTCATAGGTTCTATACCTTGATATGGGTTTCGATTGCTCAGGTATATGCATCAGTCAAAACTCATCAATGATACACTGTAAGATTTGTCCATTGTGTAGTATGTAAGTAAGTTTTAACTCAAAAAATAAAAAAAGAATTGAATCCATCTACTTAGTTAATCATGCACAATGAATTATGTCAAAGCACTGTGGTGGGTTAATAATTGCATGGATAAATGGTAGAGCTAGTAAGTGTTAATGGTTTAGTCTATGGGTCTAAAGTGTTCACTGTAAAATCCTTGCAAAGTCTATACATTTGAAAATTTTCGTACAAAAATATTGGTAGGTAAAAGGAATGGAGAGCATTTGTTAACTTGGCATGCTGATTAGGAGAGAATTCCTGCTGTATTTTCAGTTGCCACCCCATTTTCTCTAAAAATTTAACAGTCTTTTAATATACAGTTAAAAGGTCAGGATTATAATACTAGTCCTAATTCAGGAGAGCAGTAGCATAAATGTTGAGATACTGAACATTAATTAAAAGGAAGTTGTAGTAACTACAGTTTGACCTGACTTAGGCAGTTTGGAAATTATAACAAAAATCTCCCCTCCAGTCAAATTATTTTTGCAACCAATATTTCTGATGATAAAATTCCTGTCAAAGCTAGCAGGAAGAAATTAGGAAGAGATATTAGAATCAGCAACTTTTTCCATGTACAACAGATCCTCAAATTACATTGGTTTGTTCAAAGTCATCTACACTAATAAAAGAGAAACATGCAAATAACCATCACTTCGCTACGATTACCGGCCAATCAGAAGGGAATATGCAAATTAGAAGGAGGAAGATGGCTGCCACCCAGGCAGGGCAGGATGCCTGCTATGAGAGGGAGGGCAAGGGGTGAAGGGTTCTACAGGAGCAGCTCTCTGGCCACAGCGAATATGAAGACGGCAGACTTTGGCCGAAGTCTGCAGGGAAGAGGAAGACAGCAGTCTCTAGCGAAGATGGCAGACTCCAGCGTGAGTCTGCAGTAAAGACAAAGGTGGCACACTCTGGCCAATGCCTGCAACAAAAGCAGCAGACTCTGGCCAGAGTAAAGGCCTGGCTCCCAGGTGCCAGAGGAAAACCAATGCTGGAAACCAAGGGAAGGAAGGCCTATTGCACAAACTTTTTCATGCAACAGGCCTCTAGTGTGTGTGTGTGTGTATATATATATATATATATATATATAGAGAGAGAGAGAGAGAGAGAAATTAATTTGAAGAAATATTTTAATATCTCTATTTACCCTTTCTCTATCATAGAAATGTCAACCAAAGTGTCGACCAAATTCACGATCAACAATGACAGATCAAAAACACGTGTGCAACTTTTTCCATGTACAACATTTGAGGATCTCAAATTACAAAATTTGAGGATCTCAAATTACATGTACAAAATTTGAGGTTCTCAAATTACATTGGTTTGTTCAAAGTCATCTATCTACACTAATAAAAGAGAAACATGCAAATAACCATCACTTTGCTACGACTACCGGCCAATCAGGAGGGAATATGCAACAAAAAAAAAAAAAAAAATATATATATATATATATATATATATATATATATATATATATATATATATATAAAGCTAAGTGTCTGTCTTCCCTCTGACCAGTAGCTAAGATGCACACTGACCACAAGGGCAGGTGCTCAATGCAGGAGCTTCCATGATGCGCACTGGCCATTTAAAAATAAATGGCACCATGGACCTGGTGCCAAAAAACCAACACTTAGCTTCCCCTAAGTGGGACACAGACCCCACCACCATCCTGGAGTGACACCCCACCAAATCTCAGTCAATGCTGCCAAGACCCAATGGCATAAAATGCAGCACCCAGCCCAGCCTGGAAACAGTAGCTGTGGGCACCAGGTAATGACGTTACTTAGCAACACCTGACTTCTTCTCCCTAGCAACTAGCCTCCTTGCAGTTTTTTTCAGCCCAGGAACTCAGGTTGTTTTATAGCCAGGTGCAAACATTTTACCGTTCAACCAAATGTGTGTGAAGTGTATTCACATGTCTCATCTCATTTGATCCTCACAAAAGACCTGGAGTAGGTAGCTAGGAGACTTGGTACAATCCTATTTTCTTTTCATTAGCTAGACAACAGAGATTTATAAAGTTTAAAAACTTGACCCTGACTGAAAAGAAGTGAGAAATGGTGGAACTTGAAAATGACTTCAGGTTTTCTCACTGTGCAGAATATAGTCAAACACTGCTACAGTTAAATATTTTACTCTTTTTTTTCTCCCTGCCTGATCTACAATAATAGTCTGCTTCATGTTGATATTTACTGTGTTGCTGACAATAATCTGAAAGAGAAGTTGGGGTGCTTCACTAGACTGGAGAAAGTTTAGCTAAATCAGAAAGAAGGTCTAATTAAGCAATTTATCTATACTAGTGGCCCAGTGCACGAAATTCATGCATATTAAAAGGGAATTAGAGGGAATATTTTAATATTGCTATTTGCCCTTTCTCTATAATAGAAGTTTCAGAGATGAAAAATAATTAGTAAAATGTATATGAAAATCTCCCTCCTGTCAGAGTCTGGGTCACGCCAAGGGATCTAGAGTCAAGTCTCCGCCTACCCATGTGCACCTCAAAATTGCGTGAGACTCAGACACAGCTGGCTCCAACCCCATCAAGCCCCACAGGGTGGGGGGGTGCAGCCTCAGGTCCCCTGGCCCGAGGATGCGAGGGTGTGAGGGCGTGATGACTATTTGCATATTAGCTCTTTATTATATAAGATTATATAGGATATAAAAGGCTAACTTGACTCTCACATACACGATACATATAAAACTCTCACTGGTGCCGATTGCACATGTGTTTTTGATCTGTCATTGTCGATCATGAATTTGGTTGACACTTTGGTTGACACTTCTATTATAGAGAAAGGGAAAATAGAGATATTAAAATATTTCTTCAAATTAATTTCCCTTCAATGTGCACAAATCCATGCACCAGGGCATTAGTTTTATTATAACATTGATAAGAAAAAAATTGATTCCTGACTGGGGCTACTATCTGTTTGGGATGTGCACATTCTCTCCACTGCTGCGAGGGATTTACCTGGGAACTCCAGTTTCCTCTCACACCCCAGAGCTGTGCACTTGTCTACACTGCCCCAGTCTGTGAGTGTGGGGTGCATGATGTGCCCCTCGATGAAGGACATCCTATTCAGGGTGGGGCCTGCCTGTGCCTTAGGCTGCCAGGTTTGGCTTCTGCCACCCAGGCTTCTGAAATGGAATAAATGGGTTGGAAAATAATATTTTATTTGTTTTTATTAATCTTTCTTAAATATATGTATACCTTATATTTAAGAAAACACCAGTTATTTCAGTGTTAAATATTAGCAGTGTTTGGGGACTTATTTAGAAGTTTGATAATGTTTTTGTGACCATAAATATGCCATAGGAACTTAACTCTTGTTTCTAGCGATTAGCCTGTGGTAAAATTGGTTTTGTTGAATATTGTTTCTTTTAAAGTTGCATTTTCTAAGAACCTGTCGATTAAGGACTCACTAGTCGTATGTCCAGGAGATGACCAGCCACCATGACTGTCTGGCTCCTAACATGTTGATACTTCCTTGGAACTTAGCTATCCCCCTTCACCTTTTCTTATTGAAATGGCTGTTTTTGACCCCCTTCTCTTAAGCAGATTCCTAAGAAAGACTACAGGTTAATGATCTTTAATGATCATTTAATGAAAGACCAGTACATCAGTCTTCAAACCTTCCAGAGAGCCAGTTGAGATGAGTGGAGAGATGGCCTGAGGATTTTAGCTATCTTTTAGCATGAAGTTTTTTTGCATGCATTTGTTTTTTGTATATTTTATCAATAATCACAACTTACAATTGGCATAATTCATAGGTTAATTAAAATATCTTGTTTGAATAAAATTTGTACATGAAGATTAATTTTACAGTGCCTTACTTAATTCTCCTAAAATATTCAACTAAAAGTTCTACCTTATTTTTGTCTTTGATATTTTTTTAGGTATGTTTTTTATATAAACTACAGTATAAACAGTAGAAGTAAATTATTATACATAAACTTTCTAGTTATAAACTATTTTTCAGGCTTCTAAAGCACTGAAAAATGAAACGAAACAATTGCTTTCTAAACAGAAAAGTTTTGCTGAATATACTGTATCTTAGGTAAATCAGCTTTTATCTAGATTGGTTACAGATTTTGTAATTAAGTCTAATTTGAACAGCTAGACATGTCATTTATGATTTTTTTACATTTTACACACTCCTGGAGATTAGGGCTGTTTCTTCCCAGCGGTCTCCTTAGCATCCGTCATACTCTGGGTGTCTGAGTCAGAGATGGAGGTTGTGGGCTTTCTCATCAGAGGCACTTGTAGAACTCTGAGGACAACTGGCCTGTAAGTGAAGCCACACTTCTTCAAGCTTGCAGACAAGAGTAGGCATTAGGTTAGCTTTTCTGCCATAAAAGTTTGTGCATATTTAATTCATATACCATTCAGTATGTCTAGAGGATAAAGAGTCTGTAGTTCAGTGATTTTTTAACTATGTTCACAGAATTGTGTAATCACCACAATCAATTTTGGAACATGACATCATCCCAGAAAGGAACCCCAGGCCCATTAACAGTCACTCTCCTTTCCCCCACCTACAGCATGAGAGGTACAAGTCTGTTTTCTGTCTCTATGGTTTGCAAATTCTGAAGGTTTCATATAAACAGAATCATATAAGTACAGCTTTTTTTGTGACTGATCTCCCTCAGCATAATGTTTGTAAGGTTCATCATGCTGCAGCATGATCACCTCAGCATTTGATTTATGGTTGCATAATATTCCATTGTATAAACATACCACATTTTATTTACCCATTCATCATCCAATGAATATTTGGATTGTTTCCACTTTGGGCCAATATAAAGAATGCCTCTGTGAACATTCATTTACAAGTTTTTTGTGAACATGTTTTCATATATCTTGGCTATATACCGAGGAGTGGAATTGCTACGTCGTGTGGTTACTCTGTTTTATCTTTAAATGACCTACAGGCTATTTTCAGAGTGACTGTATCATTTTACTTTCCTGCCAGCAATGTATGAGATTCCAGTTCTTCTACATCCTCCCCAGTACATGTCACTGTTATCTTTCAGATGACAGCTGTCCTTGTGAAAAATATTATCATTCTTTTTACTTTCTTGATGGTTTCCTTTTGAATGCAGGACTTTTGAAATTTTGATGAGGTCCAATTTATATATTTTTCCTTTATTGCTTGTACTTAGATATCGTTTCTAAGAAAGCTTGCCCAACCGAATGTCATAGAGATTGATTACTGTTTTATTCTAAGCATTTTATAATTTTGTTGCTTACATTTAGGTCTATTGAGTTCATTTTTGTGTTAAGGAAGGGCTCTTAATTTCAGTCTTCCACATGAGACTGTACAGTTGTCCCAACATCACTTGTTGAAGAGACTATTCTTTGCCCATTGAATGGTCTCAGCACCCTTGTCAAAAATCATTTGATCATAAATGTTCATTTCTGGACACTCAGTCCTATTCTGTTTACCTACATGTCTGTCCATACCATTTTCACAAGGCCTTGATTATTGTAGCTTTGTATTGAGTTTTGACATCAGGAGGTGTTAATTTCCCCAACTGTATTCTTTTTCAAGATTGTTTTGTATGTTTGGAATTGACTTGTCAATTTTTGTTTTTTAAAAAAGCCATCTGTGATTTTAATAGGCATTGCATTGAATCTGTAGAGTTTTAGCTTAGCTTTTGAGGTTAAAGGCAGTGTGCCTGGAAATGCATATGTTTAAAGAAGTAAGCCAGCCCACGTCCTCAAATCTTTTCAGGAGGGAACAGGCCAGGGACAGTATTTCAGACTCTCCTTCCTCTCACAGGCAGGCTAATAGGAAAATTACTGTTTAGATAGTAAACACAGATTGCTGGGAAATCCTTGTGTAGTTCGCACCTTTTACAGCAAAATATCTCACTCCCTGCCTTCACTCAGTCATACTTGACTGTAAGTTAATTTTAAGTTAAAGGAAATTTTGTCATAGCCAACGTTTTTGGACTGTTTCCGAAAGTGTGCTCTTAACTAATAGTCACGGGTGGGGGTAACCATGTGCCTGCAATATTCTGTGAGTACTGTGTCTGTGGTGAACAGGCTGGAGACGTGGCCCTCACCACCTGCTCATATGTGATAATCGTCACAAGTCCTGACTGTCACTTTGTCCTTTCTTTTTCTTCAGGCAAGGCTTGAAATCTGTGCTCTGAGGGACACTGTGGCTGTCCACCTGACACCTGAAAGCAGGTGAGACGCTTACAGTTCTTCCTGAGCATTTGCTAAAAATAAAGTTGTGTTACTACTATATAAAGTCCTTTGAAAAAGATAACTGGTCAGAGTGAATGTGCATGATGTTGTATGTGAAATGTTTATATTTGATTGTTCACATTTCTATAATAGTTAAAAAGTGTACATCTATACTAAGCCACAGATTCCTAAGACTGGTTCTTTGTTGCATAATATAAAGGGGAAAAGATGTAATATAATTTTACATTTCTCATTCTCTAAGGTAAATTTTAGTCTCATGAATGATGGAACAGAGCATTACATTCTTCTTTAGAAAGGAGAAAATAAGAATTGAGTCTATTCATAGCAGGCCTTTCAGGACAGTTCAAACATTGTGATCCTCAGCACAAGAGGAAGCCTTGTGGTTTCTCTGTAAAGTTCTGTAGTGGAAATTTGATGATAATTTTTAGCTGTTTTGAATGAAAGTCAGGATTTCCTATCATTGAAATATCAGTAGGTGAACTGAAACAGCACTGACTACTTGCTTTTACGAAATTGTTTACTCCGCTGGCAACATGACCCGGAAATGCTGGGCAATGCTGTTAATGTGCAGGAGAAGCCTAGTGGTAGACAAATGTCTAGGGTCTTTGTGCAATGCACACAGATTTCTTCACGTCCAGCTTTTGATAAAATGGCTTATGCCATCATTCTTACTGCCATCGTTACAGCAGAAAGACCACTGAAATTATTTTCCTGACACAGTTAGCTTATTTTTCCTATTTATCATGGGCCATTTCTACATGGCTCTCATATTAGTTATTTAACTACACCTTTTTCCAGTCATTGTTGTTTTTTAACACCAAGTACTAAATAACAGTTGATAGAAGGCATTCCTTCCATATTTGATGTGTATGCATACCTTGTGTAAGTACCTATGTAACTCAACCTTTCATAGCCCAGGTTCCTCATTATAAAAGGAAGATAATGATATTTTATAGGCAAAGTTTTAGAGAAATTAAATGAGACAATATGTCAAGTCACCTTCTAAACTTTCAGTGCACTACACATAATAGGTTGTATCTTCATCATCATCAGTGTCATAATATAAAAATAAAGAATAGTAGCATCACATTTTTTGATTAATGGAGAAGAGCCTTTCAGGAAACAGGATGATTGTGGAGATGTGCAGAGACTCCCTCGATATCAGGAGAGAGGAGAGCTGGTTTCATATTGTGAGGTTGCTGAGTGTGCCCACAGCTAGGCTGTCCCTGCACCCACACCCTGCCCCACCAGGAACAACTGAAAGGATCAGATGCCAGTTTTTATGACTGTGTTGGGACTCTACAACCTATATATGTTGCTAGGATACCTGCCCCTAGTTTGGGAAATTCTGCTCAAAAGTTCTTTCCTGGTATATTGAGGAGGATGTTTTTATAATACAAAATCAGAGACCACTTTAAAGGCATAAATAATTATATTTATTTAGTCACCTTTTTCTTAGTGAATGGTAGAGCATTGGCCCACACAACCAAGGGTCGTGGGTTCGAATTAAATCAAGGGTTGCAGTTTCGAACCCCAGCTCCGATCAGGGTTCATGCAGGAGGCAAAGAATCCATGAATCTCTCTCACATGGATCTCTCTTCCTCTCATTCTTCCTCCCTCCTTCCTTTTCTCTCTTTCTCCCTTCCTCCCTCCCTCCCTCCCTCCCTCCCTCCCTCCCTCCCTCCCTCCCTCTCTCCCTCCCTCCATCTCCTTCTCTCCTTCCTCCCACTCTCTCAAAAATCAATGGAAAAAATATTCTTGGGTGAGGACTAACAAATAAATAAAATTGTTTTCTTTTTTATGAAATGAAATAATGTTGGCTTTTAAATATATATATATACATCTCTCCATTATCTTAAAAATTTTAAACATAGTAATAGCTAAATTCTATTTTGGAGGAAAAACTGTGTTCAGTCATTATAAGATGTTGGCTGTAAATCAGACCTAGACATATCTATAAATGTCCCTATTTGTGTAATCTTTCACAAGATCATATTTCTACTTTGTTTTCCTTCCTTTCTGACCAATTTGTTTATCTTGAGTTCAGTTTTGTTTTGAAATCAAGACTTTTTTTTAAAAAGTAAACATCCTCATTTCACTTTCACCAACCAAATTGAATGGCATCCTACCTAATAAAAGTAATATTCAAATTAACCATCACTCCACTACACCCACAAGCCATGCCCACCAGCCACGGCCACCAGCCTATCAGAGTGAGTATGTAAATAAACCCAACCAAGATGGCTACTAGAAGGGAGGCTTGAGTTTCCCCAGAAACAGAGGAAGCCAAGCTTTCCACACATTCTGGCAGGCCCAGGCCTCCACTCAAGTATACAAAGTTTCAATTATAGAAATGGCGGCAGCCATGGATGGAACAGGAGGCTTGGCTCCCCTCCAAGCTACAACGGTTCAATTGTAGAAGGTAAATAAATTCCAGATACCAGGGCCTCCACTTGGGTCGCCAGGGGACATGGCTGGTGTGCAAACTATCACAGACCCCTCCCTCAGGCTGCCCCATGCCCCAAGAGAACCCCTACCCTGATCTGGGACACTCTTAAGGGCAAACCAGCTGGCCCAACCCATGTACAGGCCTCTGTCCTATCTAATAAAAGAGTAATATGCAGATTGACCATCACTCCAACACACAAGATCAAGATAGCTGCCCCTATGTGGTAAAAGATCCTGCCCCCTGTGGACATAAGATGGCCAGCACAAAATGGCCAGCAGGGGAGGACAGTTGAGAGGGACCAAGCCTGCAAAGGAGGGCAGTTAGAGATGATCAACTCTACAGGGGATAGGGCAGTTAGGGGTGGCCAGGCTCATGGCGGGAAGTTGAGGGCAAGCAGGCTGGCATGGGAGTGGTTAGGGGGTGATCAGGCTGCCAGGCAGAAGTGGTTAGGGGCAATCAGGAAGGCAGGCAGGCAAGCAGTCCTGGATTGTGAGAGGGATGTCTGACTGCCTGTTTAGGGACAGTTGGACATCCCTCGAGGGGTCCCAGATTGGAGAGGGTGCAGGCAGGGCTGAGGGACACACACCCCGTGCATGAATTCTGTGTACTGGGCCTCTAGTCCTTTTATAAAGTTCCATTTTTCCTTTAGTTTTTCAAGTTTTGTTTCATTTCCTAAATGAGTTTTTGACCTTGCTCCTGCAAAGCCTCTGAAACTAGACCTTCTCTTTTTCTTTTTCTGTTGTTTTTCACTTGTACTTTTTCTCACATATCTACATGCTTCACTGTTTATACTAGTTTCTTTATGTTTAAGATATGCTTAAGAATTCTTAATGATGCTGTAATTCCCATGAGAAACTACAGCGTTTCAGCTCTGTGTTGCTTGTGTTCCAGGTCCAGTTTTAAGCAGGCTCTGGAAGCGCTGCCCCAGCTTTCCAGCGGAGCAGACAAAAAGTAAGTGCTCTGTGCTTTCCTGGTAGTCGTGCTGAGCACAGTGCCACTACCTGGAAGTACTCTTTCTATGAACAATGAATTGAATTTAAGGAAGAGCAGTATTGAGTAGCCCTTGGTAGTATGCATCATGCTAGCTGTGCCTGCTTGTCTCCCAATGGCAGAATATGGAAAAACCCTTATTTTGGCTTTATGGCAATTTAGAAATTAGTTATTTTCTTGGTTTAAGTGACTAGTATAGAAAACATCATAAGAAAGTTTATTTCAACTCAGTCAATTATATCTCTCTTAAATTTTGAAGATGATACTACTTAGAAATTAAAAGAGAGAACAGTGTAGTAAAATGGTGGGCCCAGTGATTTATACTCTACATTTATAAAGTATTAAGAAAGAATAGATTTGTAAATATGATATAATGAAGTTATATATGTTTCACTAACAATATATTGATTGTCTCAGTCTGAATCTAAACTTTGCTACTCATGTAACAGGAAATTCTGACCTGAGACAAAATTTAGGCCAGGTCCATTTCATAAATGCCCAGTCTACCCTCAGCTGAAGCAGTGGAAATATTGTAGCTCTTTGGTCCTCCAAGGTAACTGAAGTCCACCCACCTTTGCATTTGGCTGATCAGCCCTTAACAAATATTTATGGTGGCAGTCAACTACATGAAACACTCAGGCTCTGCCATCTAACACTGGCATCTAACAGTGCATGGGGTTGGCTGACGGTAGGAATGTTATGGGGACACTTGGACTGGGCTGGGGAGAGTGGGCATTAGACCAGATCCTTTGCTTGTATGTTCCTGTGTATATTCCTGAATGGACAAGTGGATGGTTGTGCAATGTTCACACCTACAACCCTTTCTACCATTTTTTTTACTTCCTTCTTCTCACACTAATTCTCAAGCTCTATATAAATTTATTACAAATTATGATCATTTATTTAAAATAAATACTATAATATGGCTCAAAAGGCTAGTGCATTTTTGGGGAAGTCAAGAAGATCAGTCACTCTGTTGTAGTCTTGGGTAAACTGTGTTCTATTGTAGGTCTATTGGGACAGTGTCCTAATACTGAGCATTGTCAACCCCTGAAATAATCTCTCAATCCCAGTAGCAGTAAGCCCACTTTTTGGTTTCCTCATCTGAACCAGATGAATCTAATATACCTTCTGGACTTAAAATTAAATGGACAAATCAGACCATTTAAGGAAACAAATTGAGTTGTCAATTTGCCCAGTGGACTTAGAAGTAAACCTGATTCCTCTGGCTTTAGTTCAACACTTGCCAATATTTGTTAAAGACAAAATACAAAATAAGAGCAACAGAGACAAGACAAATTGTTGCCCCAGGGTGGGGGTAAAAGGAAAGGAGGCTAACAGGGCAGGGCAGCATGAGAGAACTTGGAGAAGGATAGACCTATTCTGCATCCGATTTTGGGAGTTGTTATTTTGCTAAGTGTTTAGCAGCATTCATAGAACTGTGTGCCAACAAGACTACATTTTAATTTTTGAAAAGTGAATGAAGAAAATGCACAGGTGCAAAAAAATCTGTTTTAGGGAGGACTCTAATCTTAGGGAAGGGCACTGGAGAGAGTTTTATATATAAATATAATTATGTATTTCTCTTTTTACTCCTTTGATTGACTGATTTCATTATTGAGTAGAATCCATCAATGACTCATGCAGTTGGCTCCCCTGAGTGTTTTCTTATATTGCTGGACAAGCTTCCTTCTGCCAGCTGTAAATAGTCTCTGCTCCTGCAGGTTACTGGAAGAGCTGCTGAACAAGTTCAAGAGCAGCATGCACCTGCAACTCACCTGTTTCCAATCTGCTTCTTCAGCCTTGATGAAAACATAAATGCCTCCTAGTAAGGGTCATCCAAAGATAACAAGTGATGAAGTTATTCTCTTTAAGTGCCCTAAAGGTATTTGTATATAAAGCATACATTTGCAGTTTTTCTCCTTTTTTTTTTCTCCTAAATTAGTAGCTTAGAAAGATTTTTGTATATGTTTTATCTAAATCAAAATACCCTTGTTTGAAATGCCAAGCTTATTAAGAAATACACAGCTTTAGGCTTTTGGCTCAGAGGAGGCTCAATTGCAACTTTATTTGGTTATCCCAAATCCGGGTTCATCCGACACCAGCCACCTCCACCATTCCACCCAAGTTCAAATCAAACTTATATACCTAAGGTGCACTGGTGAGGAAGTGGGTGCCACATCGACTCTGGCCTCCAAGATAAACCCCCTCGGCCTGTATCCGAAAAAGGTTGGCGATGACATCACCAAAGCAACAGGTGATTGGAAGGGTCTGAGAATTACAGTGAAACTGACTATTCAGAACAGACATGCCCAGATTGAGCATGTCTCTGCCCTGATCATCAAAGCCCTCAAAGAACCGCCAAGAGACAGAAAGAAGCAGAAAAACATTGATCACAGTAGAAATAACACTTTTGATGAGATTGTCAGCATTGCCCGACAAATCTAGCACCAATCTTTAGCTAGAGAACTCTCTGGAACCATTAAAAAGATCCTGGGGACTGCCCTGTCTGTGGACTGCCATGTTGATGGCCGCCACCCTCATGACATCAACAGTGATGCATTGGAATGTTGGGCTAGTTAAGAACTGCAAAGGAAAATATTTAAATTAAATGTTATTTGGGGGGAAAAAAGTACACAGAAAATTGTCTGTCTTAAGCATGTTAACCATTGTAGCTAATATGACTATGATCCTGAATATTTATGTTATCTTAAATATCTAGTATAGAGCATTTGTCCAATAAAGAATGTCTTCAATGAAATATGTATTTTAGTTGACGTTTTTTCCTAAACATCTTTACTCAGCATTTTCATTAGCTATGTAACTTTTTATAGGTCTAATGTTAACACTCAGAATAAATATTTAAATTCCAGTTTACCTTATGTTTATCTGAGCATCATCAAGAAGCTTTTGTCAGGTGACCTGCGAATTATCTCCTTGGTTAGGGCTCACCATATGTTAGGCACTGTGCTAAATCATCTCACAGCACTTCTAGCAGGCTGGTGAGGACACTACACTGGCAGTATTTTATGTCACAGACAAGGTGATCAAGGCTTAGAGAGCAGTCTGTGGCTTTTCTAACACTCAGAGTTGTCCAGTTTCATGCTCTTTAACTTCCCCACTACCAGCTCTTTCCACTGGCCCTCCACCAGTGACTGCAGCACAGGGAAACACTTGAACATGAGAAGGTAATAAAAGGTAAGAAAAATAGGAACAAGTAAGTGCTTTTGTGGCTTAGAGAATGGAGGATAGGCACATAAAATCCCCATACCCAAATAAGTTAGTTCAAGGATTACTGTTCCAACAAGTCAAAGGCAGTTCTTGGAAGAAAGAGGAATTTTAAAGAGTTTTTGAGCTACAGAAGAATTTAATGGTTAAGAGGAAATGGCTGAATACAAGGTAAGCAGAGTTCTGAGAGATTTGGAGCAAATTTACATAGAGGTAGCCATGAAAAAAAATTGGAGTTCGGTAAAGGTGTTTGCTTTCACACCTAGGTAACATTGGGGTTTAACATGCGTGTGGTCAACCTTGCTACTGTCTGTTGGCAAAGTGGGCCTCGCCACCAGTGCTGAAAAAGTACTAGGAGCAGTTTGGTTTTACTATGACTTTCTGTATAAGTGTTCATGAGAGTGGCGTGCTCTGGAAATGATGCCAGCATCACAAACAGCACAGTTGCTGCAGCCCCTCCCTGCAGCATCCTCCTGTGTTGCTGCAGGCTTTTTAAAAGTGATGGAGAACAAAGACTACATTTCAATTCTAGATTTGGAAAAAGATAGCCTTTGTGATCTTATTTGGATTATGTGGTGTGGGATGTTTTTATTATGAGTTTTATAAGGATATTATAATGTGTTTTCCAAAAGTTATAAATCAGCAGCTTTTAAACAAAGGTTATGTTTCTAAAATAAGTTAACTTTATTGTATTTAATATATTCTTAAAATTATGCTTTATTATAGATTGAAGCTTGCATACATTTTTATCATTAAGTATTACCTAGCAGTAGTATCATAAAGGTTTTATATGGATTTATAAACTGCTCTGAAAATAGAAAAGATATACTGATACTTGACACACATACTTCAATTAAAACAACAATTTTAATTATTTTAGTTGCTTTAAATGCGGGTTACATTTTTTTATGTAGTGGAATCATCATGTTTTTTTTGTACTCATGCCATCTCATTTTCTCTTCACCCACATTTTACACTTAGTTTCATTGCACATATCACTGGAAAGCCTGTTTTTACCTTTTTTTATATATATCTATTTTATTGAGTTTTTATAGAGAGGAAGAGAGAGGGATAGTTAGAAACATCGATGAGAGAGAATCATCAATCAGCTGCCTCTTACACACCCCCTCCTGGGAATGCGCCCGCAACCAAGATACATGCCCTTGACCGGAATTGAACTCGGGACCTTTCGGTCCGCAGGCTGACGCTCTATCCACTGAGCCAAACCGGTATTGGCTGTTTTTACCTTTTTGACATATAAAAAGCCAGGTGTCATCATGACCTAAACAACCAGACAGTAGACTGAACAGCAGCCTAGGGAGCTGAGGGAGCTGGAGCTGATCAATCAGTGGCAACGGTGACTGGAGACCAGTTGGAAGGCAGAAGGCCCTAGCTGTTTTGGCTCAGGCCTATGGACTGAAAGGTCCTGCGTTCAATTCCAGTGCAGGGCACATGCCAGTATTGCAGGCTCGATCCCCAGTAGGAGGCATGCAGGAGGCAGCCAATAAATTATTCTCTCATTATTGATGCTTCTCTCTCCCTCTCCCTTCCTTTTTGAAATCAATAAAAAATATATTTTTTAAGTACGCAGAGGGCCTGAATAGGCATTTCTTCAAAGATGGTCAATAGACATATGAAAAGATGCTTAATATCACTAATTAGAGAAATGCATATTAAAACCACAGTGAGATAATACCTCACACCTGTCAGAATGAATATAATCAGTAAGTCAACAAAACACATATATTGGTGAGGGAGGATGGGAAGAAAGGGGAACCATTGTGCACCATTGGTGCCTAAGCTGTCAGTTGGACATCCTTAGCACTGCCACAGAGGTGTGAGAGGTTCCTGCCACTGCACTTGCCAGCCATGAGTCCAGCTTCTGTATTGAGCATCTGCCCCTTGGTGGTCAGTGTGCATCATAGTGACCTGTTGTTCTGCTGATTGGTCGATTTGCATATTAGCCTTTCATTATATAGAACTATAGGCCCGATGCACAAAATTCATGCAAATGTAGGCCTCTGCAGTCATGGTGGCTGCCTCAATCTCGCACTCACAGCTGCGGCAGCGGCCTTGATCCTGCGGCTGCAGCGCTGGCTTCCTCAGGAAGGCCATCCAGAAGGAGACCATACCGTGGGCCTCGATGTGATTCACAGAAACAGTATTCTGTATCAGGCTGTTTGCTTGTTAAAAGTGGGTGTGTTTAAGTAGTTAGACTGCAAATCAAAGGTTAGAGGTCCTAAGCTTGATTCCTGAGGCTCTTGGAAAATCATTCTTTGTTCTATAGGTCTTTTTCTCTGTATGAGTTGTCAGCATTATTTTAAAGACTTAGATACTCAACATAGCCAAATGTGCTCTCTGCCTCAAACTAAATTCAGGTAACAGTGCTACAAAGAATCATCCCTGACTTGCACATTAGCTCCTATTAATTAAATAAGGTTTTTCTCTTAAAGTTTTATTGTATTTTTAAAATAACAGTTTAGGGGACCAAAAAAATGGCAGCAAAATAGACAGACATGTCCCAAGCCTAGTCCCAGAGCTTCCACTTCTTGCCTTTCTGCCATCTGCTGGGCCTCAGTTGTTAGCTTTTTCAGCTGACCCCATATTGGCACCTCTTTCTCTTGCATAGCCTTCGTCATCTTCCTTTTCCGCTTTGCTGTCATTAGGGCAACTCTCAGTCTTTTGAATGAAGGGACAAGGAGCTTCTCTGGGTCCACTGTGGTGACATAAGTAACACTTTGGCACTCAAATTGGCTGCACTGCGCCTTCTAGAAAGATACAAACACAACCTCTTCCCCACATCATTACTGGATCTGGTCCAAACCATTGTCCAGTTTGTGCATCCTTCCATTGGGCTAACCAAGTGGAAGCTATTGTACAGGAGGTCTGATGCCTTTTGGCTGCTGTACCTCTGCATCACAATTCAAAAAATTTAAATTATATACCAGAGAAATCAAGGAAGAAATTAAAAACATCCTGGAAACAAATGACAATGAAAACACAACAATCCAAAATCTATGGGACACAGCAAAAGCAGTTTTGAGAAGGAAGTTCATATCCTTACAAGCCTATTGCAAAAAACTAGAGAAAAGGGTAACAGATGAACTAACTCTACAACTCAAAGAGTTAGAAAAGGAGTAACAAGAAAAGCCCAGTGTAAGCAGAAGGAAGGAAATAACAAAAATCAGAGCACAGATAAACGACATAGAGGCCAAAAAAACAATACATAAGATCAACAAAACCAAGAACTGGTTTTTTGAAAGAATAAACAAGATAGATGAACCTCTAGCCAGGCTAACCAAGAAACAAAGAGAGAGGACCCAAATAAACAAAATCAGAAATGAAAGAGGTGAAATAACAACAGACCCCACCGAAATACAACGGATTGTTACAAAATACTACGAACAACTCTATTCCAACAAACTGAACAACCTGGAGGAAATGGACATATTCCTAGAAAAATACAAACTTCCAAAACTCGATCAGGAAGAATCTAAAAATCTCAATAGACCAGTGACTTCGGAAGAAATTGAAACAGTCATCAAAAAGCTTCCAGCAAACAAAAGCCCAGGGCCAGATGGCTTCACAGG